AAGAGACAAATTACCAGCCAAGAGTAATATATCCAGTAAAGTTACACTTAAGATATGAAGGAGTAATAAAGGCCTTTCCAGATATACAGAAGCTGAGGGGATTTTCCACCACAGGCCTATAGTAGAGGAGATATTAAAGGGGGTTTTTCTACCTGAAACAAAAGGGCAAAAGGATACAAAAAAACAATGAGTAAGATGATTAACAGAAAGACAGAAGCAGGAAATTGCAACCCTTATTTAGAATAGGGCACTATATACTTAAATATAACATAAAGATTAAAGGAGGTAAAAACATTTAAAAAAAGGGAAGAAGACAATAGCTACTGCAACTCAGAAATGAACTTAAAACAAGTAGGAATAATTTGTGACAACAAAAAACATAAAAGAGGAGAGAGTAAAGGTCTGAATTTGCAAAGGGGAATGGAGATAAGATGCATACAGGAGAAAAAGAACTACTGTATACATGAACCTTTGTTTTACATAAGCTTTATGGTAACCACTCAAGAAAATCCACAACCAAGACACATAACATAAAAAAGAAGGAACCGGGGGGGGGGCAATCATAGAATTAAATTAAAATAACAGACAGAAACACAAGGGCAAAGAAACAATGGAGACACTGAGCTACCAGAAAACAAAAGATAAAATGACTACAGGAAATCTTCATATATCAATAATCACTGTAAATGTAAATGGACTGAACTCACCAATAAAAGGCACAGAGTAGCAGATTGGATAAAAAAAAACAAACCAAAAAACAAAACCCAAAACCCCCAACCATATGCTGCCTTCAATAGACACATCTCAGCTGCAAGGAGAAATACAGACTCAACGTGAAAGAGTAGAAAACGATACTCCAAGCAAATGGCATTCAGAGAAAAAGGAGTGTAGCCATACTCATATCTGACAAAATAGACTTCAAGATAAAAAAGTTAACAAGAGACAAAGATGGACATTTCATAATGATAAAGGGAACAATACATCAAAAAGACATAACACTTATCAATATACATGCTCCCAATCAGGTAGCACCAAAATATATAAAGCAACTACTACCAGAAATAAAGACAGGAAATGACAAAACACAATTATAGTAGGGGACCTAAATACCCCATTGACAGCTATGGATAGATCATCCAAACAGAAAGTCAATAAGGAAATATTAGTGTTAAATGACACATTAGACCAAATGGACATAATTGACATTTACAGAGTCTTTCATCACAGAACACCAGACTATACATTCTTTTCTAGTACTCATGGAACATTGTTCAGGACTGACCATATGTTGGGGCACAAAACTAGCCTCAACAAACTTAAGAAAATTGAAGTCATACCACGCATATTCTCCAACTACAATGCTTTGAAATTAGAAATCAACTGCAAAAGGAAAGCAGGAAAAACCACAAATATGTGGAGATTGAACAATATATTACTAAAGGACGACTGGGTCAAAGAAGAAATAAAAGGAGAAATAAAAAGATTCATAGAAACAAATGAGAATGAATATACAACATATGAAAACTTTTTGGGATGCTGTGAAAGTGGTAATAAGAGGGAGGTTTATATCCTTACAGGCCTATCTCAAGAAACAAGGAAAATTCTAAATAAACAACCTAACATTACATCTTAAAGAACTAGAAAAACAGAAACAAATGAAACCCAAAGTCAGCAGAAGAAAGGAAATAAAAATTAGAGCAGAATTAAATGAAATAGAGAACAAAACACAGTAGAAAAAAATTCAACTAAGAGCTGGTTCTTTGAAAAGATTAATAAAACTGCCAAACTCCTGGCTAGACTCACTAAAGAAGAGAAAAGATGCAAATTAACAACATCAGAAATAAAAGAGGAGGTTACAAAGGATGGTACAAAAATACAAAGGATCATCCAAGAATACTACGAAGAACTATATGCCACCAAATTCATTAACCTTGAAAAAATGGATAAGTTCTTAGGAATATATAACCTTCCTAGACTGAATCATGAAGAACTTGGAATATGATCCACATAGAACAATCCACAGCAAGAAAATTGAAACAATCATCAAAAAACCTCCCCCAAAGCACAAGTCAGGACCAGATGGCTTCACTCGTGAATTCTACCAAACATTTAAAGATGATTTAATACCGTTCCACCTCAAACTCTTCCAAAAAATTGAAGAAGAGGCAATACTTTGTAATTCATTTTATGAGGCCAACATTCCCCTGATACCAAAACTTGGTAAGGGTAACACAAAAAAAGTAAACTACCCACCAACATCTCTGATGACTACAGATGCAAAAACCCTAAATAAATACAGATGCAAAATACTAGCAAATCTAATACAACAATACATTAAAAAGATTATATACATCATGATCAAGTGGGGTTCATTCCAGGGGTACAAGGGTGGTTCAGTCCTCTCCATTTATGCCCCAGAGGGGTTTGGGAAGCAATAAGTAAAAATGTCACAAGGCTTTCCTATTAGTTTAAAGATGGCTTTTTCTTGGTCAGAGGTGTGCTTGATTGCTATAAACCTTTGACTGTTTTCCACAACTATGAAAAAGTTGATTCAGACAGTTTCTCCTTGTGTGTGTTTTTTTTCTTCTTCTTGACATTTCTGTGGGAAAACAAGAGCTTGGAGCTTCTTATTCCACACTTTTACTCAAATATCTGAACAAATAGATTTTTAAAGGTTTTCCAATGATCTGATTTTAGTTTTGTTCATATTATTTGCAATTTCTAGTTTTATGGAACTGTGACATTTCTACTATGGAATTTAACGAAGGTTTGTTTTTCGGTTCTTATGTACTTTTATATTTTCTAAACATACCATTGGCCCTGGACAATTCACTGACACTCAGGTCCAATTTCTCTAAAGTTTTTAAATGAATCAGAAGTGGATGACCTTGGAAACTTTTCATGAACCATCACTGTGGGATCCTGTGAGGTCAGGATAACATGTGGTGATAGACACACGAGAGCCCCACACCATCTATAAAGAATGGAGGCTGTTTAGATGGAGTGGAGACAGAATTTCCTCCCTCTGCCTTGTTACCCCTCATGCCCAGAGCTTGCCCTTACAACCTGTCCTATGAAGTGGCTTTTATTGGGTAGCCTGACCCTGGGCCACCCCAGCTCACTTTACTCTTCTCCAGGCTGGCCCAAAGTCCCCACTGTCACACAGTGTGGTGGCTTCTAAATGTGGTGGTGTAATCACCAAGTTTGGCTCCTTCTGGGCAAGGGGGATCAAGAACTGCTTCTGGCTGTGCAGACCGGCTCCTTTCTGGGCTTTTTTAAATGAAATTTTATTGGGGAATTGTGGGAGGGGAACAGACAAGTTCTGTCCTTTTGTTCTTCAGTCTAGTTGTGGAGGTCACTGCTTCACTGGCCCATGTTGGTATTATCATTGCGCTCTTCCCAGGTGAGGCAGTCGCTCGCTGACCACTGGATGGCCACTCACAGCAGCTCACGAAAGCGCATGCCAGCTGCCGGCCAGTCCCACTGCAGCCTATGCTGTTGCCACATGGCAGCCCAGCTCCAGGTTGAGCTGTTGTTCACCATCTTAGCTGTAGAGGGTGCAGCGTCACTGGCCCTTATGTGGGATCCAAACTGGGGCCCTGCTGCTCAGAGCTGGCATCCCAAGCCAACTCTTAACCAACGCGCCACTCAACCGGCCCATTATTATTATTATTATTATTTTATTTTATTTTATTTAGCTGAGCCATCCTGCCACCTGTTGGCAGCTCAGCTCAGACCCATGTGGGAATTGAACTGGCAACCCTGTTGCTCAGAGCTCGCTTTCTTGAGTGAGCTCTTAACCAACTGAGCCACTCGGCTGGCTGGGCTTTTCTGCCTATGCTCTTGAAGCTCCAAAGAGAGGGCCGGGGGTGGGGTGGGGGTGGCTGTTCTCGTCCAGGTTAAGATTCCTGTTACTGGAGGCCCCCTGCTTCCTACTTCACAACAGCTGCTTTACTCTCAAATGGATTTCCCAGGAGCTAAGATTCAGGCCTGGGCAACTAATTCTCTTGGAATTCACTATACAGTTGACTGTTGAACAGCATGGGTTTGAAGTGCATGGGTCCACTTTTACATGGATTTTTTTTTCAATAAATCAAGTCGGCCCTTTCTATCCCTGGATTTTACATCACCAGAATCACCTAACTGTGGATCATTACAGTATTTCTGATCCCAGGTTAGGAATCTGTGGATGCAGAAGGCGGATTGTATGCATTGTTCTATGCCATTTTTGTATAGGGGTCTTTTTTTTTCTTCTTGATTATCCCTGGATTTTGGTATCTGCAGGGGTCCTGGAACCAATTCCCCATGGATACCAAGGTACAAACTATAGTTAAGTTTTGAGGGACTCAAAAATTATACACCGATTTCTGACTATATAAGGTTGGCACCACTAACCCATCATTGTTCAAGGGACAACTGTAATCTCAGATTGAAAATACAGCCTGCCAGTGCATGGGGCGCTAGATCCTGTCTGACTCAAGGCATCTGGAGATATCAGAAATTCCAGAATACATGCAACATTTGGTATGATTCCATCTACATTCACTTCCTATTCTATCCCCTGGGTTTTGATAAAAGGTTACTTTACTAAGTGCTGTGAAGGCTGTGACGCTGGCTTTAGGCAGGTGTGATATTTAGACAAAGACTGAGACTGGAAGTAAAGCACACCTGCCCTTGAATCTGAACTTCCTCACAGCTAGCTTGTGACCTGAGCCCATAGCTACACCAACCTGAGCTTCGGTTATGTTTAATACGGATGGTTCTATGAGCCTCACAGAATGGTTGTGAGGTTTACATAAGCCATCCAATGAAAAGAACAAAGTGTTCTAAATATAATAGCATTTGTCACTTATTCTGGGCTTAGTACCCTGCGCTAGTCAATGTGATTTACAGGTGATGACTTAATATAAGTTTCAAAACAACTCCACTGTCAGATGAGAAACCTCTTACCCAGGTTCCTTCTGTCGCCCCTGTTTACAGGTGACAGAGCCGCAATTTACCTGGGTCTTTCTGGTTCCAGAGCTCGGGCTCCACCGCATACCTACTGCCATGCTTTCTGGCATGCTCGCCGGCTGCGTCATAAACATGCTTTTCCCTCCCGCCGCGGACACGGGTTTTTCTCCGGTAAGGCTGCAGGTGGAGTTGGGTACACGATCTCCACGCATCCTGGCCCGGAGCACCTGCTCCCCGACACAGGACTGGGCCAGGGGGACCCCGGGACTTCCTTCTCCCGCACTCTAGGTCACAAACCCACTCCTCTCAGGAAGTTCCCAGGCCGCCCGGAGTCCCGGTCTACCGCGGTCCATCCCAGGTGCTGCAACGAAAGTTCCGCCATCGCCTCCCAGCCAGAGCACATACTATGGAAGCAGGAAAGCGGAGCAGGGGCTGCACATGCGCAGCTGTAGTCCGTCCAGACCCTTCCCAGAGGGCTGCGCCTTGAGCCAGACGGATTCAAGACAACCTTTCCCATCAACCTCCGCACCTTGACGTTATTTTGATTAGACTGTTGGAAGAGGATTACGGTGGTCTCTCCTGCCCAGGATACATTTGAAATTTACCGCCAGATACAATGCGTGGTCCTTCATCAAATCCCGATGGGCAAAACAACAGTTGCCAAAGACGTTAGGAACAATTTTGGGAAATTTGAATGTGGACTGGCAGTTAGGAATATTAGTAAACATTGCAGTTGTTAAGTGGAATTATATTGGAAAATGTGTTGATTTTTATAAAGACATGCAGAGTGATGCGTTTAGCAAGAAAATTATCTTTGTTAATTAACTTTACAAAATTTGGGCAAAAACTAACAAAGCAAATATAAAAGGTTAAGGTTTCTTAAATCGAGGGCACGACTATATATGGATGCTCATTTTACCATTTTCTACTTTTCTATGTCAATTTTTTGTAATACAAAGAAAAAATAGGGATTCTCTCTTCATCAATGTGCCTTTTAAACTCAAGGCTGCTCAGAGAAATCAAGGTACAAATATCTCTTGGGAATAAGGCCATGGAATGTAAATAAGGCACTTGAACAAGGAGCACAACATTATAAAACAAACTCCGCAATCAACAGAGTTTATCACTGGAAAGGGAAAAAAAGCAAGTTTCAAAAATACATAATATACGAAAATACAATGCAAAATAAGATAATGGTTATCAAACAAATTGCGCATTTCCCAGAGAAGGCACTACTTAAACCTTACGTGAGTACTTTGGTTTTTCTTTTAAACCAAATTAGGTACATACGGGTATATTATTATTATGGGAACATCTTTTTACTAAATTACATATATTTAACATGTATCTGGTCAATATTACTTCGCAGCAATCATTTCTTCTATGACAATGAGTTTTAAAATTGAATCCTATTGATTCGGGGGAAAAAAGAATGGAGTCATCAAGCTGTTAGTGCAATCTATGTGAAAAGATGCGTAAAGCTTTACTCTGAGGCAGCTTTCCTAGAAAGCGTTCTCCCCACCCCCCCCGTCACCAGTGCCCCTCCTCCCCCGCCCCGCACGCCGCTTGGGATCCTCCCACTGGTGCGCGCTGCGCTCAGGTGCTGCGGCTGTGGACGCGGTGTCCCTAAGGCCTGCAGCGGGGACGGCAGCCGGTGACGAGGTCTGCGGGCTGCTCTCCAGCCCCACCGCTGGGGCTCCCATGGCGCGTCTTCTAGCCTCAGTCCGCGGTGTTTGGGGGCATCCTCTGCAATCCTGCGTCTGGGTGAGTCCTCCCGCCTCGCTCGGCCGGATCCGGAGGCGTCCTCCCGCCTCGCTCCGCGGAGTCTGGGGATGTCCTCCCACCTAGCTTCTTTTGCCAGCGCGTCTGGGAGCGTTCTCCCGCCTAGCTCTACCAAGTCTGGGCGCGTCTTCCCTGGTCCCAAGTCTTGAGGTGACCCGTTATCTCCCGTCCTGGCCACATTCCCAGCCAACATGAAAGGTGCCTGAGTTTACCCCAGCTACGAGAGGAGTCTTCTGTGTTGGTCAGTTTCCGATGATCATGGATATGTTCCCTTAATCAGACTGAATTTTCCATCTTTGTAAAAATGGACCCTATTCTGTGCCATGTGGGCTCTTTTTTCGGAAGGGCAAAAAACATTTTCAAAAAACGTAATAGGTTTATTAATAATCAAATGCCCTTCTTTCTCATTAAATGCAGGCTTCTACATAGAAATCCTTGAACTTGTAATGCAAAAGCTAAATGTGACTGTAATAAATGGTAAACCCAACTATATTCATTTTGTAATAAGCTTTGCAACTTGATATTTTATTGCCTTTAAGTTCTGTGATGAACAAGATTGTTAAATAAGCCTTGTCATTTTTTAAACACGTGAGTTGTTCCTGTTTATTTTTAATGAAAATGTATTTAAATGTTTATTAAAAAAATTTAAATACATGCCTAATATGATAAAAATACAGCAGTGCTTGATGGGACAATGGAAGCACCTCTTACTTTCCATCTCATCTTCCATATAAAACCAATATTAAATGACACCTGACGCTTAATTCTAGACTTTATGCTAGAGCTAACAATGCATTTTTTCAAAAAGCATGGTTACTACTTATTTACAACTTGTTTTTACATTTAAAGTTATCTCCTGATGCAGTTATCTGGTCAGGCTATATACAACTAAATCATTCTTTTTCTTGGCTGCATTGTAGGGGTATATCATGTTTAATCAGTCTCTATGATTGATGTTCAGTTTTCACTATTATAAATAATATATAGCAAACATCATTATCTATACATCTTTTGAGTATACATTATTATTTTTTTGGTACACATGCCAAAATGATAGACATGTCCAGTAAAAATGTGTACACAGTAAATATTTGATAGATGCTAACAAATAGTCCTCAGAAAGGCTATACAGGTTTATGCTGTTTCCTCACATCCATTCAACACCAGATAGTGAGCAATTTTAATAACTGATTATTAGTGATGCTTAAGGAATTCCTAGTCACGTTCTAATGGAAAGAAAGTGGACCATACATACATTCATTTAATAAACTTATTGAAAACTTGCTGTGTCACAGCCATCATTCTAGATGCTAGGATAATACCAAGTAATAAAAGAGATAAAAATCACCATTTCTGTGCAGTTTATGATCAGGGTTGCTGTGGTTAATTGTTAAGAAACAATGGGACACTTAAGGGGATCTAATAAAACATGGGCATGGTTGGTGAGGCACCTGTGATTGGCGACAATAGGGAGGCATTATCACCACTAGACCTGCCATGCAGGCAGGGAGTATTACTACAATCTGGCAGAAAAGGCTGCCCCAATGGGAGCTGTGGCCTTAAGAAGAGAAACATAATGGTCAACTCCTGGCTCAGTCCAAAGAGCCAAAGAAATAAATACCTAAACCTCACTTGTTTCCCACCCTCTCATGTCCTATCCCCTAGTGAGTGAGCGTTCCCATACTCCCACTCTGCATCATTCTTATTAATAGACGTGTTTCCACAGTCTCCTCCAGAGCTCCTTAATTTTTAGTTATATTCTTTTCTAGCCCTTCCATTTAATTCATTGAGCCACTGATCATGAATCAGTATGACTAAGTACATCCACACAAAGTGGACAATCACAGATACCTCCCTAAACTTTGCTCGCTCAGGAGGCTTTCTCTTCACCACAGCCTTTCAGGGCCAGCCTTGAGTGGGGTTGTAATGCAGCAGTCATTCACTTCCAGAGTATGTCACCGTACCTTGCAGACATATCTATAACCCAAGGAGGGTGCTTTTTCTTCCTCTGTTAAATGTTTATAGTGGACTCTCCAGCAGGGCTGTAAGGTGCATTGAGTCATATGTTGTTGAGGCAGCAGGAGTTAAGTACCATGTGAATGCGAACCACTTGCTTATACAGTTTGCTTGTGCCTCCTGGTCCTGTGTTGGTCTGACCTTGTATTTACCAACCCACTTAACAAAGGAATAGCCTTGTACACAAAATATTTTGATTCAGTGAAACAGATTACATCAGTTCATGATAGATATTTTGGGTCACATAGTCACTTGCTATCCCATTTTCAGGAGTTTAGCCTCTATTGGGACCAACAGCAAATCAGAAGCTGCTTTTTAAATGGAGGACAGTTATTATAAGGTAAAGGCATACCTTATTCCAAATCCCTAGGAACCTGAGCTATACATATTTTCTTCCAGTCTATGAACATGGCATATCTCTCCGTTTATTTAGGTCTTCTTTGATTTTTTAATCGGCATTTTGTATTTTTCGTCATACAGGTACTACACATGTTTTGTTAGATTTGTTTTAACTTTTTTGGAGAAATTGTAAATAGTATTATGTTTTTTTTATTTCAGTTTCCAATGTTCTTTGCTAATTTATAAAAACATGATTGATATTTGTGTGTTGATCATAGTATTCTGTGATCTTACTAAACTCAATAGTTTTAGGAATTTTTTAGTAGATTCTTTGGGATTATCTATGCAGACAATCATGCAATCTGCAAATAAGGATAGATTTATTTCTTACTTTCCAATTTGTATGCCTTTTCTCTTCTCTTTTTTTTTCTTTTCTTTCATTATTGAAATGGCCAGGACTTCCAGTACTGTCTAAATTGTTTAGGGGAAAGTGGACAGCCTTACACCAGTCTTAATTTTATGGGAAAAGCATTAAGACTTTAGCTATTAAGTGTGATGTTATCTTTCTGTTATTGCTTTCATGTTTAATTCCCTCATGGTTAGATAATATATTTAGTATGACTTTAATTGTTCAAATATTTTTCATATTAGTTTTATATATCAGGACATAGTTTATCTTAGTGTTCCAGGTGCACTTGCAAAGATGTATTCTGCTTTTGTTAGTTGGAGTGATAAATAAATTTCAATTAGATCCTGTTAATTGATGGTGATGTTCAGTTCTTTTATATCTTTTCTCTCTGTCTACTGCTTCTATCAATTACTGAGGAGGGGAATTAAAATCCCAACCTATAACTGTAGATTTGTCTATTTCTCTTCTCAGTTCTTCTCAGTCAGATTTTGTTTCATGTATTTTGAATCTCTGTTTAATGCATACATATTTAGAATTGTTACATAGTCTTCATGATTTTACCATTTTATAGTGATGTAATGTGCTTTTTGTTCCTGGTAATGTTCTTTGCTTTGAAGTGTATATGTCTGATATTAACATTGTCATTTTTTTGCTTAGTGTTTGCATGTTATATATTTCTTTGTATTTCTACTTTTAACATACCTATATCATTACATTTTAAGTGAGTTTTTGTACATAGCATATATAATAGTTGGGTCTTTTTTTCTTCTTGTTTTGTAATCTATTCTCCCAATCTCTGTAACAATTGCTGTCTACTGGTATCAACATTTTACTGCTTCAAAGATTA